TTGCTTGACGAGAGAAAAATACATCATTTTGCATTTTTACATCTTTCCTTTCACATTTTCTTCCTCCAAAGGAAGAAAGAAAAAGAAAAGACTACCAGTGGAGGGGCATTCAAATAAAGCAGAATGATTTTTTAAAAATCAAAAGCCAAAGCAAAAAAACCAAAAACAAACTCAAAAAACTACTAAAGCATCTCTCTTTGGGTTTTGTTTCCCAAAGTGCACTTAGTAGTTGCTGCGTGACATTCCCAATAACTATAGATGCTGCTTTGTGCTATCCACAGACTCATTCATCAGCCAGATCATCTGGGTAGACACACCAAACCTCACAAGAGACATTTTTTCAACAGGTGAAAGACATGACAGAGCAGAGACCATGAGCTAGGCCTAGAAAGAGGGGTAGAAAGTGCTCAAGGGGGACTGGCTAATATGTGTAGCTACTCCTTCTGCCAGCATGCATTAGTCTTGTAAATATGAAAATGACTCTTCCATACTACAATTTTTATTCTTGCGTAGGACAAGAAGTAAAGGAAAATAAATTGTCAATCCATAGAGCTGCTGAAAGGGCAGCTGTGAAGGAGGACAGGGTTTGAACAATTCAGGGCACCTAAAATAATGAGCATCTTAGAAAAATATAACCAGCAAGAATGCAGACAGAACAGCTGTCTGGGCTGCAGCTGAGTCCTGTCTGAAGAAAACAATGAGCAATAAGTTCACTTTTCAGTCCTCTCCATCACTGTTCCCTGTGTTAACAAAGCATCCCAGAAGGGAAAGCAGTGATGGGGAAAGTCTGACCCTACTGTCTGGCCCAGTATCCCCTGACTGCCCCAGCTGGCACCTGGCCCAGGCACTTCAAATACACGTGGGTATCTCAAACCTCTGACCTCACCAGGAGCTCAATGCCACCCAATCAGACTCTGAAAGCCACCTATCTGGTGCTGCCCAAGGTGCCCTCTGCTTTCCAAGACATGGCTAGGTAGACCAGTGCCTTCAGGCCCTGCGCCACTACAGTTGCAGCCATGGAATGTTATCCAAGGACATCTCAATTGTCTCTAAATGTCCATGTGGGGCTTACTGGATCAAGTCCAGTGGTTTCCCAGTCCCCTTCAGCAGCTTGGGCAGGTTAAGTTGGGTGCCTATGTAAATCAATGCAAAGATGGAGATTAAGATATTTAGTTTTCACTGTGAGTTAAATTTTATTATTTCCTATATAAAGTGCCCTTCACACTTTTGGTGATACACAGATAATCATTTTAAGGTTAATTGATCTCCTCACTCCGTGTCAGGTAACACCTTCTTGTCACCACACAAAATTTCATCCTCTGTGTATAAAAAATGTACAGCAACAGACTTGCCTGCCGCATGCCTGCAGAGATAATTAAATGTTGATGCCAGAAAATATGAAGCTGGAGGTTGGCAAAATTTCTATATGCCTTTTCATCCCTGACTTTTGAGTTCATGGAGAAAGAAAATGGGAGTTTGGCAATGACAAGAGATTTAAGGGAGTCTGCGAGAACTGTTTTTTCTGTGAGCATAAAGGGAAGATTTCATTAATCTTTTTATCTGCCAAGGCACTGAACTAACTTATGCATAGCCACGAATTTTGCTCAGTGTGTGATATTATACTACACGACTGCTGATGCTTTTTTTTGTAAAATATGTTTTAACTTATTGAGTTGCTGTACCAAATCATTCACTTCTCCGTTTTCTTCCTTTTTTTAATAAACATCCCCTGCTATATATCCCACATCTCACACATCACAAAGCAGTGGTGTAAATCCAAATGTGAAGAAACAGAGGAAAGAACCAAACTGGATATAAACATCAGCAGGCCTGTGTCACTAGCCATCAGCAGAAAATGTAGGATGAGGTTAAAAAAGCACAATGGTTAGAAAATGGTTTGTTTCAGGTGTGCACTTTGGGGCAGAGGTGGGTGATGAGCAGAGGCAGAAGGCCATAGCAGAACCAAGCCTTTTGCTGAACACCAGCCCTATGGCTTCTGGCCCCAGGCAACATCTTTGTTCACCATCTGCTCTGCCCAGCCTCCTTAGAAAAGACAGTGAAGCAATATTGTTGGACACGACACAGGAACCAGGGCCTGCTGTCCACACATACACACAGGGAGGTGTCAGCATGATCCTGCTCTTTATCTTTTGTTTTGCCATTTTCTCTCCCTCTTTGTCCTGATGCTCTTGATCTCTTGGTGGATTTCATCAGCTCCCTTGCCAATGATATTATTGGCATCTCAATTGTTTTCTTCATGTTTCTTTTTCCATGTGCTTTTGGTGACCTCAGCATCATGCCTGGACTCCCCACACTTCCTCTTCTCATTACCGCCACTGCTCTTGGCTCCTACAAGGCTCTCCCAGCTCCCTTCTTCCTGCACCGGGCAACTGGGAAGGTGCTGAGCTCTTCTAACCCCTCCTTTTCCTCTTTCCTGAACAGTCACAGCTCTCAGTCAGGGATACTGCTTTCTCTGCAGATTTCTGCTTATTCTACCTGTCTGCGAACAGCCTTTTCTGCTTTACACATGGGAACTGAGGACATGGAAATTATGTATTTTTGCTGTTCAGATATCACTAGGGACATGAGTTGGCAAGGGATTTACAGGCAAGTCATTAATGATCTGTTCTAAATCAGGCTGCAAGACTCCACCTTCCTCCTTATCCCTTATCTTGGCCTCTCCATCACTCTCAATGCTGGCAACTGCTGCATTTCTTTCCTATCCCTTCAACTAAGAGATCTTCTCTGTATTTCCTTCATCTTTTGGGGTTTCAAGCTCTGCCCTTAGTTGCACAGTCTTTTCTTTCTGAATCATTTATTTTACAGAATATGAAGCAATTTCCCAGCAAGAATCTTACTGTGTTCTTCATTATCTCTCATCTCTGTTGGCGCAACATCCATTTCCCTGGCTTTGACTTGACTAAAGCGATCCTACCATTATCCTTCCATAAGGCTAATGATGCAGAGACTCACAGCTCTTGCCCATAATGCTGAAGGTTCACTATTGCTCTGATGACTATTGTTCCTTTATCTCATTCTGCTGTCTGGATGGGTTTTTATCTTGAAAAAGTAAAGCATTCAGGACAAGGACTGTCTTTTTGGTTTGTCCTTACACAGCACGTAGCACAGTAGGGCTCCAGTCCACAGTGAGAGTCTCAAAGTGCTGTTGCTAGTCAAAGTGATAAAATGATAAATACACCAAAACTGGCAGTAGGTGTAACTAGCCTGGTCTAGTTTGTTTCTCCTGCTCTCACACAAGTGGTCAAAACTGACTGACAGTGCTGTTGCCAGTGAGAAGACTCACAAGCAATAGCAACTGGCAGCAAGGACATTAAAACACCGGACACTAGTGCACCCAGACACCAAGTCTGGTATCTCTACACTTACATGCATAATAAATTTACACAGATTTAAAAAATCCCAGGTGCCTCTCCAATAGTTATGTTCAACAGGCTGGGTTCATAGAATCTCAAATGTCTTCCTAAGGTTGCAGTCAGTGAAAAAGCCTACCTTTACTTTGGCCCCAGACCATACTTTGCCAGGATAAACCTCCTCTCCTGTCAGCACTCTTACTGCATATTTGCTAGAAATGATGAGAAACTAGAGAAATTGTTTTACAAAATAGAGTAAGGCCATGTTCATTTGACTGAGTTTGAAGTGGAGCTCTTCTGTGTTTTCCTCAAATATTACATTTTCCTGGATTTTACCTCAACCACTTTTCTTAACCAACCCCTTTTTCCCATTAAATTATATATTTGTAAGATTTTCATAGAGATGCCAGATGATGTAGGAAAAAAAAGTTGTAGTCTAAACATCTTCCAGAGGCAGGAAATTTGTTGCATGGCTTTTGCAGTGCCGAACACCTCTGTGCCCTGTCCTTCCTCTTTTTCCTGCTCTTGCCCAGTGGCTCAAGTGGAAGACAGCAGTTCTTCATGCTCATCTAGCAACCTTCAACATGAGTGCCAGAGGTGTTTGGTATTAGGAGCAAGAGGGTGACTGGAATCAGATGTCAGTGACGCTGCCCCATGACACTGTCCAGGGTGCAACATGTGGCGATGTACAGTAGAAAAAAATGTATGGGGAAAAGGAGGAGAAAAGGGCAGGAGGAAGAGGAAAGATGTCTTTTGACATCAGTAAATATTTGAAGCAAATATAAGATTGATTTTACAATCTATCTGCGTATGAATCGACTGCCGGATGCGGCTTGTTTGTTTTTTTTCTGCCAAATCCAACAAATGCTATCAGGGTGGAATTCAGCCATATCTCCAGTATTCCATTAAAGAAATGATGGTCTAACTGTGGGTACAGAAAAAAATAACACCACAGAAATCTTATGAGTTTATAGGAAGAAACATGAGTAACTTTATGACATGATGAGCAAAAGGGGAAAAACGAAACCAAGAAAAAAGTGTATAAATATTTATAGAAAGGAAATGTCATCATTAAAGAAAGGAAATGTCATCAACATAGTGGAGGAATAAAAACTACAGAAAAATAATGGGTCAATAAATAGAGCTCTTGGGGAAAAAGAAACGAAGAAACTAAATGTTTTCCTTGCCTCTCAATTAATTTAGAAAATATATTAACAATAAACCTATGGAGGACATGTGTGGGTACTGAGTCTGAACCAGAGATTACTGAGATTAATGAGAGAATGCAAAAGAGCCTCATGTGTAGGATACAGATACAAAATGCCAGGCAAGTATGAGTTAATCCACAGTTAATATTGGAGATTAGGGATCAAACAGTTGGACTATAAACTATACATTCTGAGAGAATTATTTATTAATCATGAGTCAGGAGAGGTTTTTGAAAGGCAAATCATGTCAGACAGATGTAGGTTTTCTTTACAAAATAACTTCCTTTTGGAAAGATGTGGTAAAAAATCGAAGTGCATTTTCAATAAACTTCAGATCACTTGGATGTAAGAGCCAGGGGTGACCTTGAAAAGTCTGACCCGAAGGAAAGCCTCGGCTCATGTGGAAGTCAGAGTTCAATATCATCAGTCCTGATTTTCTCATGGGTAATGCAGAATAAATGAGGAAGCACCAGAAGTGTAAGACAGTTGAATTAAAAAATACAAATGTGATAAAATTTTTGGTGGGCCACAGAATTAAATTTCAGAGCAAGTTCCAGACCGTTTCTCTGAAAAAAAAAAAAAAAAAATCTTTGTAGGCAAATGGATGCTGGGATGAAACACAATTTTCTTTGCAAGAATTGGTAAGACTAAAGTCCTTTCTCTGTCAGAAAACAACTACTTTTGTAACCACATTATTGCTGATTTTGACATAAGAATAATGTGCAAAACATATTTGGAAGTGATACTAAAACAGTGTGGTTAAGAGACATTCAGTGCTGAGCATCTTAATTAGTACAGTAACGTGAGCAACAATAAAAGGCTCTGAGTTACAAACTAACAGCTATAATACCAATCTTACTTTTGCTGCCATAAATTGGAAGTATTTCTAATGAAATAATTAAAAAACCCCTGTTGATATAAAACATCCACATATGTGTGTATGAGGCCTGGTTTTGTATGATTATGTAATTAGGGAACATAGTATCCCCTCAAGGATGTAAAAAGGAAAACTGTAACCTTAATTATAGCATTTTTTAATTCCTTTTTGCAAACTGAATAATTATCTTCTAGTTAGTTTTGTTTTAAGGAAAAGTAATGACAGGAGCTAATGAGTTGCAGACAAGAAAAAACATACAAAATGGGGCTTGGAGAAAAGCAAGAAGGGACAAGACAAACTGCAACCCTCTCAGTGATATTGTATGTTTAAGCAAGAATTTCTAATTGAGGTCATTTCACTCACCAGAATTAGAACAGCAGCCAAGGGAAAGGTGGAATATGTATCTAAATAATTTAAGGAGGATTATTTTACAGAGAGAGCAATCAGGAGGTGTCACACATATACAGCAGAAATGGAGAGGTCAGACAATGCCGATGTGAGCAAAATCCTGCCATCCACATAGAGCTTTAACTGATGCATGTTTGAGGTTAGCCAAGAAGCCAGACTACTGCGGGGAGCAAGGAATTTGTCAACCATCACATTTTTCTTGCAGGCTGGCTGTGCAGGGCTGTTTGTATTATATCGATTTCTGGGAGTGCTTTTGCCCTTTGGCTCACGTTTTCCACGTTTACAGGCCATAAAAACCAGATAGAGTCATGAGCCATGTAAATGTTATTATATAAATTGTATTGTTTATGAAAGAGAAAAAGAGAATTCAAATTCACATTTTTCAACCAGTTTTGTGCTAGAGAAACGCCAGTTCTGTCATCAAGCTCCCCTCATCAGGAAGAGAATGGCAGAAACATTTCAAATGGCAGAAAACAGTAATTATGAAGACTTCACCTTCCACATCTAGTCCAAACACTCTACCCAAGAGGGTTGGTGAAGTTGTAATTCTCCTTACCTGTGTGAAGTCACCATCGGGCAATTATTGCAGAATCCTGTAAGGTTTACCTAAAAAAATTAAAAATCAAATCAATTTGGATTAAGTTGTCTCATGGTTGGTGAAAGAAGGTTTCAGTTTGTGACTTACAAAGTCATGAAGTAATATGAAAAGCTAATATCCACCAAAATTCAGGAAAAGGATTTATGAAATTTCATAATGACGCTTACTACTTGCTTACTTTTCAGCTTTCATTTAGACCCCTCCAACCACCCTCAACATGTCATGCATTCTGTTGCCCACATTTCACAGCGCTTAAATTTAGGCTAGGGAAGAGTTCACATGGACTGCCTTCCAACCCAGCAGGAGAGTTTGGAACCATGAACTAGCTGGGAGTGTCCTTCCCTTCATTTCCTTGCTGTCGTCTCTGGACAATGCTGCCTCCTGTTAGCTCCATATGCACACACACACAACACACACAGGTGCAAAAGCTGAAAAGAAGGATCCCCTCTCTCAAAGAATGGCCTGTTGAGCCTGACTGACTTTGCATTTAGACTTCAGCCTTCTTGGCTTCCACCCAGTGCCTGCTTCCAAAGAGCTGGGAGCCCAAATCAATATTGTCTCTAACTTCTCATCTTGGCAATTGCACACACAACAAACAGGCACTTTGTGTGCTTCTGCAGAAAGAAACAATCCTGCACCACTGAAGAATGTTTCTTCTGCCTTTCATTCTTCAACTTAATTGAATCCTGGCCTTATCCCTTATTGCCGTTATAGAAATAACTGAGATAGAAGTGTTGTCTCGAAATCCAAGCAGGAAAAACAAGATAAATGCAAAATTGCAATCCTAACCCTAATATAACTTCCCTGGTCAAATCTTAATCCAGCTCCCATGAAAGTCAAAGTGTCTTTATAGGCAGTCAGGAATTAGGCTGGGCAATAAAGATCTTTGCTTATTATCAGTTTGCAAGCTAGCTGCATTTAATAGTGCATTATCTGAATTAAATTATTAAAATTATCAATGACAATGTTTTAGCTGAGCCTAAAAATAAGGGAGTATGAAGTGGTGAGGGAGGTGACTCGTTTATACGTACCAATCTGGGTGGTTGATAATGTAGGAGCCAGAGCATGCCTGTAGGAACAAAGAAATGGTGACATATAAAAGCTGGACTGCAGGATACTGAAAAAGGTTGAGGATTATCAGCTGATCATTCAGCTGAGCGTCCCATGCAACGGTATAGCTATGGAGGGGACATGAGGAAATACCAAGGAGGTGGAGGAACCATTTATATAAATCCAGTGAAACTACTACAGTAATACTACGCCCATTTCAGAAACTGTCTTGGAAATGTGTTGGTTAGATACAGAAGGGATCAGTGGGCCAATTTGGTCTCCTGAGGTGTCCATGGCTACTTCTAGGAGGTCTGTAGAAGAGCACAAAAAGAGCAGTAGGCGTACAGAAATTTTTAGAAGTCCATTTACTGAAAAAGGTGAAAATGGCTTTTCTAGTATGATCTCCTATATAAAAGAGCTTTATATGCTTTTATGGTGACAAAGAATCTGCTAGAAACCTTATGAAGCAGCTAGATGGCTAGGAACTCCCGATGTTAAAAAAGGGGAATCTTAACTCAAAATGGAACTTTATAGCTTCAGCTCCAAGCTGTTGGGTCTTGTTATGCCTGTAGGGTGAGGAACCCTCCAGAATCAGATTTCTGTTCTTGGCCAAGTCCTTTCTGGGCTTGCTGTTACCCAAAGCAGCATCCCCCTTTTTGTAAGTGCAATCTTCTCCCCACAAGAGTCACTTCACTTTTGGCTGTACTGAAGCACACTGTATTTGCAGTCTTCCATTTTAAGAAGTAAATCAGCTCAATGATGTATCTTCTTTATTATCCTCTCTCCCCAGCCTTCAACAATACTTATAGATTTGCTTTTAGGTAATTCATACTGCCAGGGGTTAAACAGCACAGGTTAAGAAAGCCAACAGTTTCCTACTGAAGATGGGCCTTGACAGCAGATTTTGGACCCAGTATGTTACCATATTTTTAATCCCACTTAATATGTCATGTTATTTTGAAGAATTCTTAATAAAAAAATTCAATACTATAACAAATACTTAGAGAATTATAAGTACATTACCCCCAACACCTCTGCCACAAAACAAACTGATTTGTTACCATGCTCGTTATTGAGTAATTTCTTTCTCTTAAACTGATTCCTGTTAAGTGGAGTTTTCTTTTTGCCTTATAGTTAATGAAATCACTCTACTTTGCTCATGCTCACTATGTCAAGCTGATATGTCTATAATTACCAATATCTGTATCAGCTTTTTCTCCAGACAAGTCTTTCTAGCATTCCTATGATTTACCAACTTTAATAGCCCACACACCTCCTCATCCAGCTCTTTAAAGCTCTTGCTGCAGACAGACCTACTGGTTAAAAACAGCCGGCTTATTAGCTCTTGCTCTGCATATTGCCAAGTTACTGTTGGAAGGGAACAGATTTCGTCTTCACCCTCTGTGAATTCTTCATGCAGACTTTTCAAAAACCCGCTTGGAACAACAGGATATATTGAAACTATTTGACATTTCTACATTAGAAACATGTTTTTACAGGCTAGAATAGTTGTTAGGATTTTTTTGTACTATGAGATGTATCAAAACCTTTTTTTTCCCATCATTCACCTTCTTGCCTTAGGTTTTTTCCTTGTATCCTGTCACTTCATTAAGATTTTTTCTAGTTTTCCACCATTTTAGAATAATTTATATTCTTTACTATCTCTTTTTCCTCTGAGTGTGTGTGCATTTGTATTCAACTACATTTGCCTATTTCAAGCCAGCCTGGTTCTTTTTGCCAGTGCAACTTTTTTGCTCTTACTTGAGCAGCTGTATGGCTTTGGGGCATGCAATAAGCAACTGTTTAAAATTCCCGATTACACTTCCCATTTTAAGACCATGAGAACAGCAGGAAAGAGTGCGATCAAAGGCCTTCCAAAGTGACCCTCCAGCAGTGGCCAGCTTGCCTGGAGTACAAACAACCAAACAGCTCAAACACAGCCAGTGCTTCCCAGTACCTCTCTTTCAACCACTCTGGGCCCTACATGTCCCCCAAGAGCAGTCTGAGCTGGCACTGGGGACCTTTACTGGATCTTTCATCCCTTCCTTTACCCAGTTGCTTCTGGAATATACACAGACTTTTAGCAGCCACACAGCCCACATGACAGGAAACATTCAAGTTTATTAGAGGACAGATAAAGAAGCATCTCTTTTTGTTCACTCTGTCTTTTCATTTGATGCCTCCTCATCTTTGCACTCAGTCATTGCCATTCACCTTTTCTGCATTATTTTCAGTTGCATTCTGTCACCTTCCCTTCTCAATCAACTCTTTTCCAAGCTGACAAAGTCTAGTATGTTTAATAACTCCTTGAATGAAAGTATTTTCACTATATCTGTGATCATGCCTCTTGTCCTTCTCTGAACTTTTCTACCTCTTCTTTACCAATTTGGAGCTGCAGGGAAACAAAACTACTGTGATGTCTTGCATTTTAAACTCTTTCTCCAGGATGATTTGGCTTTTAAAAGTTTTCAACATCATAAAACTGGGTTTTTAAATGACAAAGTTTTCCTGTGTTACTGTCTTGGATTTTAGCTTCTTTGAATGCAATAGAGACACTCAAGCCACCATTGTTGCACTCCAGAACGAGACAAATTTCAGCTCTGTGCTCAGTGGACCCTTCTTTCTGAGTTAATGCCTAATTCACAGCTCTGTGAGGCTGGATGTAGTCCCCAGGCAGGGAACTGCCAGCTATGGGTTTTGGCAATTCTAAGGAAATTTTGTGTCTGCCTCATAAAAGCTAAAACAAGAAAAGATTCAGGTGAAAACTGGAAGAATAATCCAAGATGGAGCAACCTGGCTGTATAGTAAAAGACTAACAAAGCTTAGTATTTCTAGCTCATTCAAAAGAAGACAAAAGGTAACGATTCTGACTTACAAACCGTTATGAAAGGGATTTCTGCTGGCAGATGGATCTGTAATCTTGTGGTGTAAAGGAGTAACAAGATTCCATGGCTGAAAGCTGAAAGATTAGAAACAAGACAAAAATGTTAGCAACCAGGTTAATTATCCAAACAGCTTAAAAGGATGTACCGGATCTGTAACACATGATATTTTCAAATCATAATTAGCTGTGTTTTTAAAAGATGTGCTGTTGCCCAAGCAAAAATTGTGGTCTCCATGCAGAAATAATCAGAAGAGAGTTTTTAGCCTGTATAAAGCTGCAGGTCAACCGAGCTGATCTTAATTACCCCCTTGGCCTTAAGATCTATGAATCTAGGAAAATGGGGATAATGGCATGTATTTAACTATCTTGTGTTTTGAATGGAAAAAAATGGGAGAATTGTTCACAGTAACAATTGATTCATACATTTAGGCTATTTTTTTGCTCATAACATGTCTGGGGACAGACCATTAACTCCTAAATCTATTTTTCAAATGTGATGGACAGCTATCTTGCCCAATATTTGACTTAGACCTTGTGAGCTGTGCTGCCTAATTGGTTAGCTAATGAGTGATGTGCCAGTTCCCCTCTGTGATTGATTAGCATGAAGGCAAAGCAGACAGGCATATTTGAACATTTCAGATTCAATCTGGTGACCATGTATAGGAACACAATTTTGAAATCCTTTTCCTTTAATCAAGCCCCACCATGTCGTGTTGACTGAGGAGTAGGCAGAAAAACTGTGTTAGCATCACTTAAAGCAGATTCATCTATTTTAAATATTGAGATCTAGTCAAGCCATAGTTACAACATTATGTTGCTCATCAGTCATCCAGGTCTAGGTCTAAGGATGCATTTTGTTTTGAAAATTAACAAATTTCCTAGCCCCTTGCTTATACAGTAGACAGTACAGTGAGCTCGGGGCTAATGTAATTGAAATAGCAAAAGCTGAAGATATCAGGTATTTTAAAAAAAGACTGCATTCACTTCATGCTGGTCAATATTCATGAGAGGAAGTATAGAATACTGTGAAAGAAAACAAGAGCAGGGAAACTCACTTGGGTTTCAGTTAAATACTACAAAACCAAGACTGGAATAAGATATGATAACCACAAAGAGGAACATCTGTTAAAGAAAAAAAACATCTTTCAAAGCAGATCCTCTTTTGCTAATGAAACCCCTTTAAATGATTTTAAGACCATGGAAAGACACCCGTGGTGGTGATGAGGCACATCTGAGCATAGTCTACTCTAGAAAGAGGAGGGCTTCTCCAGGTCCAGAGAGCCATCAAGTCATGCCTGTGATGCTGGACCACAAAGGGAAGGCAGAGTAAAAGCAAAGAAGTGGCTGTTCTTTAGGAACCTGTAACACACAATGTACTTTTCAAATAAGGTTTTTACTACCAAGTTCTGGCAACTTGTGCTTGTTACCCACCTGCTTCCCCATCCAGCATACACACATCCCATCCCCATGCTGCCCACACCTCCACCTGCAGGGCTCATGCTGTAGCCAGAACCCACTTCATCAGCAGTGAGGCCAGGGGCAGTGTGGCAGGGGTGGGTGTGCTCCCTCCTCACCAAACTCCAAGGGGCCTGTTAGCAGCCTGGACCATCACCATGAATCAAAAAGATGATCCCACTCCAAGCACTTGCTGTCCAAGGAATATGCACCCGACTGCCAGGAGGTGAAGCTGTGATATGTACAGACACAACCGAGCTGGTCATGGTCAGTTGTGAAAGCACGGGGAGGTACCCAGACTGCCAGCAAGCTCAGACAGCCCGCAACGAAGCCTGTTTCTGCCGCATCAGATTTTGCATTCCACCTTGGTCTACAAGCAGTCTGGGTATCGGAACAGGTACTTCAATGCTGTCTTCCAGCAGCAGCATGGAGATACCCTGCGTAGGAGCCGAACGCCTGCAGACGGTTACAGAAGCACAGTCAAGTGCTATTAACAGCTGTTTGGCCTGCAGTGAGCTTGCAAAATGAGCACAGTTTATATTACACGGAGACTTCAGGGAGCAGTGGGTAAGGCTGTGACAGGCAGGAGGGAGTAACTGCCCATGTCAGGGGCCACTTCATTTTTCACCTGTTAGATGGCTTTCCTATTACATCTCCAATCTAGCATGGAAATTATGCTTGTTCTGTGCCTCCGGTTCAATGGGAAATTGGAGAAAATATGATGTGAACATCAGTTACCAAACCACTTGTTTCTGCCAGCCCCTGAGGGGAGGGGTACCCCCTGATGCTTGGTAAAAATGTGATGGTTTGGACCAAACTAATCTTTGCTTTGTCAGTATCAAGAGCTGTAAGAACATCTGTGTTTCTGGAGGCACACTGTGGTACATAAACAAGAAATAATGCAATAATTTCCTTTTTCCCCCACCCATGAAAATAAACTTCTGAGTCATAAAACCTTTGAGATAACCGAGAAATACACATGTAGGGCAATGTTCAGCCAGTCAAGCACACCTCCTGCTGTCCTGCCGTCTCTGCTCTCCAGTCACAGTGGCACACAGGCCACACATCTCAGATGCTCCCTGGTGTTTGAGAGATGCAACGTTCAGGTGTCTGACCCATTGCCGCGGGAGCATGTTTCTGCCCTTGCAGAAGGAGGCTGCTTTTACACCTCCTGAAAGCCACTGATGCCAGCGAAGTCCCTCCTATCATCTCTACTGACAGCATGAGGGTACACACAGACTCTGACAAAAGGTCTGGCCTTCAGTTCTTCCTCAGCAAGGAGAGCACTTACTGGCATGTTTGCAGGCTGTTTACAGCCCATGTGAGCTTGCAGCACTGGCAAATAAATGTCCAGGCTGTCAGGTCATAGTTACCCTACTGTAATCTGAGCAGTCAGGACAAAAAACACTGTCTCCACAATGTACTTCCAGGCAGCAGAGCTGCTCTTTTGTTTCCTTCTGGGTTTGGTGTTTGAATTAAGAGGAAGCTGGGTTAACCCCAGCTCTGGATGCTGAGCCACTAAGAAACTATTTCATTGCCAAGAGTAACGGTCAGGGCATATTCTGCCTTCACCAGTTGTGGAACAGTACTAGATTTCTTAAAACTGACCCAATCCTAGTCATGACTGGGACAATCCTATGCAATGCTGCCTCTATGGAAACAGTCTCATTTTTCCCCATGTGTGGGCTAATCTCACAGCAGGCTTCAGATGAGGAGAGAGGACTGGGTGCCTTCATCCTAAGAATTAGTCAGGGGTGGTTATAGCAAGCAGAAATTCAAATTCATGTCTAGTCCAGGTCCATCGCAGCAACTCCTTCCTACCAGTTCTCCCCTTGCGTTCCTGAGGTTAACATGGACAGCCTAACAGGCCAGAAATGGGTGCTGGAAAAAGGTTCTTCCTCCCTCTCTCCCTTCCTCCCTTCCTTACTTCCTCCCTCCATCTCTCCCTTCCTCCCTCCCTTCCTTCCTATCCCCCTTCCTCCCTCTCTTCCTCCCTCCCTCCCTCCCTCCCTCCCTCCCTTCCCCCATGCTGAGTCAGATCTTCAAGGCCATCCTTGAGCCTTTTCTATACCACAAGGCTAGGGAGAGCTGGCAATGCGAAAATGCATGGAAGTTCATGGCTTCATTTTAGGGATTTTAAAGGGTTGTTGCATATTGGTGGGCCAACAGCAATGCTCAGATATAGCTTACCTGGGATCTGTTTATCTACAAAAACAACCATGCTATTCCCACCAGCTGCTGTGTGAAGGCCGAGGAAATGGGGGATAAGAATGCAAGACCTGTTTGTTCTTTGATTTGGTTTGTACATCAAAGTTTTATTAGCTTTTACTGCTCTACTGACTGCTGCCTGCAACTGTTTCACACTCACCTCTGCTTTCTCTGCTTTCCTTCCTTCTGGCTTTGTGCGAACCTTTTTATTGCCAACTCCAGTGAGATTATAAAATTTGGCATCTGTTGCCAGACATCTCAGGTTTATTAAATCTGTTAAAAAAATCTTTAGCTCCGTAATGTGCACAGGGTTAGGATACAACAAGGAAGCAGAAGGGGTGGCCCCAGCTTCCTGTACATGCACCATTTACACTGGGTCACTACTGGGAGGACAACTGCCATGGGGTGAGCAGGAGGAGGGGCAAGGAGATTATTTACAGCCTGGCTGTACACACACACACACACACACATCTATCCACCTACCTATCTATGTGTACTTGCCGTGTCCGTGGATTATCCACATATGCATATTCACCTCAGAGACTTTTACATCTAACTCAATGCCCGTGCCTCCTTTTAAGTGCTATTATTCAATGTATTACTCTTATCTTCATTATTGTCCCAAAGCCTTCGAAAGGCCAAGGTCAGGACTAGGTCATGTTTGTGGTATTTTCTTTTCCCTTTCTTCTAACCACAAGCAGCTTGTAGTCCACTGATTGTGAGTTCTGGATACTCCAGGAGGTTTCTTGCCTTCTCCTGTTAGTCTCACATTGAGCTTTTTTCCTATCTGCCTGCATTTAGACTTGCCTTCTTCTGAGCTGTGGAGAGCTCTCAGCTATCCTCCACAGGAGTCTCCCTTACCTCAATGGGTGTGCAGGACCTCACTACCAAAATGAGTTAAATACTGAAACAAATACCTCCAGCTTCTGTCTGTTGGAGATCTCGGTTCTTTCTTTCCGCAGTCCCATAAAAAAGGTGTACATAAAGAAGGTTCATAATGTGGGAAACAAAAATGTTTTCTTCTTCCTTTCCCCTCCAATAATTAAAACCTGGAAGAACTGGCGTGTTTCACTCCCGAGTTCCCAGAAATTTACTACTGAACTGAAAAGCTGCATAAAACTTTTCACACTAGGAAAAGTGTGCTCAAAAATGTTCTGAGAATGTGGAAATGAGAGATAATCACAGAAAGTGCTTTAAACTTCACATGGAGTGGTCAATGTTGACAATTTGCATAATAACTCTGTCAAATGAGCTATTATGCTCCATGACAGCAGCAATAATTAAATGCCAGAACTGGTCATTACAAGCGTTAACCACTGATTAATTCATCTGTTTATATTAAAAAACAGGATTGGCTTCACT